CATTGGTCTGGGTGTATGCCCTTCAGCGTTTTTTTTCCCCTTGTAATACTCTCAGTCATTTTGAAGAGGCAGAAGAAATGCTGATCAGATTTTCAGATCAGACGAAATTGAGAAGAATAGCTAATGTTCTAGAACACAGAAATCAAAATCTGGTGTTCCATTAGAGAAATAGGCTAAGAATACCCAAATAAAATGTTTATAGTGCTAAGTACAAAAATTTCTTGAGAAATTAAAATTAAACACATGCATAAAATTGGCTTGGTAATACTTTGGGGGCAAAAAATCTCAAAATTGTTGATTACCCTTTTCTTTTGTTAATTCAATTTGCAGTGTGGCAGAGAGGCAAATGCAATTTTAGATGCATCAGCTGAAATGTGTATCAGCTGTATTGAAAATATAGTTTTCAAATCATGGGAAGTAATATACCTTGCACTGACTTAACTGGTCAGGTCCATATTAGAGTACAGTATCCAATTCTGTGCACCATTTAAGAAATACTAAGAAAAATTGAAACATGTTCAGAGAAGATCAAAAGTATGATTAGAAGACCAGAAATGATGTCTTGTGAAGCGACATTGAAAATGCTAGACATATTTAGCCTTTGTGATAGCAATACCTGAAAGGATATCACACAAAAAGAGATTAGAGCCTGTTCTTTGTTGCACCAAAGTGCAAAGTTATCAATCGGATAACTCCAAAGTTATCCAATTGATAGTAGGCTTTCCTTCTCTGAATGTGAAAAGTTTTTGGGAGTAAATAAATAAAATAAATGGGTTCAGCAAAAAGTGGAAAATATCTATAAGGATGTTTTGGATTTTTGCATTAAACAAAAAGCATTTGTTTTACTGGAAGGGGCCATTTACCTAATGGTTCCTTCCAACTTTGTACTTTTATGAGGTTTGGTATCAATTAAACATTTACCATGCCTGACAATGAGTTATCAATCACTAATATTTTAATATAAAAACATTTTAAACTATAAAAATACATCTAAAAAGCATCATCTTAGAAAATGAATATCATTTCTATTGTTGTACAGTATGTCTGTCTGGTAGATTGAAGTTTCATCAATAAAGCTGTTTTTTTTCCTTTAGAATGATTATTTTATACAAATAAAATATAGAGATTTAATTTTTCAATAAGTAATTTGATGTATTNCAACCTCTGGAGGCAAGTTGTTCCACTGATTAATTGTTCTCACTGTCAGGGAATTTTTCCTTAGTTCTAAGTTGATTCTCTCCTTGATTAGTTTCAACCCATTGCTTCTTGTCCTGCCTTCAGGTGCTTTGGAGAATATCTTGACTCCCTCTTCTTTATGGAAACCCCTTAGATATTGGAACAGTGCTATCATGTCTCCCCTAGTCCTTCTTTTCATTAGACTAGACATACCCAGTTCCTGCAATCGTTCTTCATAAGTTTTAGCATCCAGTTCCCTAATCATCTTTGTTGCTCTTCTCTGCACTCATTCTAGTAAACATCTTTGACTCTTTCAACTTTCCCCCATGGGACTTGACTTTGCTGCTTTTCTTCCTTACTTGAGGAAACATGGGATAACTGAAAGAAAAGACCATAATAACATGTAGCTGTTGTTGTTAGTTGCAAAATTGTGTCCGACCCATCGCGACCCCATGGACAACATTCCTCCAGGCTCTTCCTGTCCTCTACCATCTTCTGGAGTTCATTCAAGCTCACGCTGACTGCTTTGGTGACTCCATCCAGCCACCTCACTCTCTATTGTCCCCTTTTTCTCTTGCCCTCCATCGTTCCCAGCATTAGGCTCTTCTCCAGGGAGTCCTTCCTCCACATTAGGTGGCCAAAGTATGTGAGATTCCTCTTCAGGATGTGGCCTTCTAAAGAGCAGTCAGGGTTGATCTCCTTTAGGACTGACCAGTTTGATCACCTTGCTGTCCAAAGGACTTCTCCAGTACCATAGTTCATGTAGGCTAGGGAGCACATAAAAAGTGTGATCTTCTCCCATCTTCAGAGAAAGGTTAGATGAGCCTGCTTGAGTTCCAGGCATCAATTTGTCCTCAAGAGTCCCCCCAAGTTCTCCGCAGTGTTGTAAATGTAACTTGGCTTTAGGATCTTTTTATCATACATGGTGGTTATGTACAAAAGCCAAGCATTTTGATAAAGACGTGCTTGGAAGAGATGTTAGATCAAAAGATTCCTATTAGGAATAATAAAAGAAAAATATAGTAAAGGAGTGACATATTTAATGCTGCATGTGGTATATACAAAATTGGAAAAACAGAGATGCCCCCACCGAAGAAGAGGTTATAAAGAAAATTTCGGTCTGTGCAGAAATGGACAGACTGACACTAGGAATCAAAAACAGAGACGAGACAGAATATTATGAAATTTGGAACAAAATGTATCAATGGCTGGAAATGAGGAAAAGGAGTCGGAACAGAATGTTTTGAAGATTGTAAAATTGGAACTGGATAATATATAGATAAATATACAAAGGCGGATGAAGGATATGTTAATAAGATTAATGTACGATAAGTGGAAACAGTATTTGTTGTTATGTTAAAGTATGTATGGAAATGACAAAGCCAGAAAGGTCGCTCTATCTATGTCCAATGTTTTTAACGTTTATTCTTCTTTTTTTTAAAAGTCCCACAAGTCTCACTTCTGGTATACTCTGGGATAAGGTTTACTCTAAATGTCTCGTGTAGCTTCTGGTGTAGCCTTAATATTATTGTTCATCTCAGCAGAAGAACAGATATTCTCTTTCCCTCTCCACTGACTTCTCTTTTTGACTGCTGTCTTCCAGGCCGTGCGAGTCTACATGACAAAGCCTCTCTACGCATCGAACAGGTTCGCTCTGAAGATCAAGGCTGGTATGAATGCAAAGTACTCATGTTGGATCAGCAGTATGACACCTTCCATAACGGCAGCTGGGTGCATCTCACCGTCAACGGTGAGTAAGGGATCGTCCTTGTTCCTAGCATTCTCTTTTCTGGACTTCGGTGGCCTGCAAAATATTTAGTGTGATCTCGACAAATGACTATAAAGAAATTCTTAGTCATCCAGGTTATGGTTGTCCCAAAGATGCTTTTTTCAAGAGGCAAATGGACTTTCTGTTTTTTCTTTGAAAATGTTTCAATTCTCACCCAAGAAGCTTTTTCAGTTCTGACTGGATGGTAGGGAAGAGAAGGATTTATACTCCTTGCAGACAGCTGGTCATTTGCATCCTTTTAGAGGGTCCTTGAAGCACTTGGAGGTTTATCTGTGTCCTCAGCGTCACCTTAAGTAGTGCTCCTAGTTCCTGTAGTCTGCATTTTTCCCCTCTGGAAATCTATTCCTACTCCCACATCATTCAAACGGTGTTCATTCCAAATTGTATAGCTAAAGGTTTGTAGAGATTCTCAGTCATCCAGGTCATGGTTGTCCCCAAAGGGCTTTTTCATGAGGCAACTGGACTTTCTGGTTTTTCCTTGAAGATGTTTCACTTTTCATCCAAGAAGCTTCTTCAGTTCTGACTAGATGGTAGGGAAGGGAAGGGTTTATACTCCTTGCAGACAGCTGGTCATTTGCATTCTTTTAGCTATACAATTTGGAATNCGGGCTCCAGAGGCCGGAAACAGGCCCATTTCCAGACTTCTGGAACTTCCAGGAGGCCCATTTTTCATCCTCCCGGAGCCTCCGCTCAGGCCCGGTGCTTACCTGGCATGATGAACGGCCGCATGGAGACTCCTGGGAGGGGAGGGGCGAGGTGGGCGGGCCGAGCCAGTCCTTGCAACTACTGGTTCAGCAAACCGAATGCAAAATTAACATCTGGTTCACTCGAACTGGTCCGAAGCGGCTGAGTCCCACCCCTGAGTGGAACGGCTTGCCTTCAGAAGTTGTGGGTGCTTCAACACTGGAGGTTTTAAAGAAAAGACTGGACAGCCACTTGTCTAAAAGGGTATAGAGTCTCCTGCTTGAGCAGGGTGCTGGACTAGAAGACCTCCAAGTCCCTTCCAACTCTATTATTCTGTAGTTACTAAGTTATTAACAGTTGTTAAGCAGTGGTTGTATTCAGCCAGTTCACACCGGTTTGGGCGAACCGGTTGTTAAATTACGCACACACACCCTGGCTATCAAAGTGGATCCAGGGCGCTGAGCTCCAATGGAGAAATGGACAATGGAGTAGCCAGCATAAGGGAAAGAGAAGGCCACTTTCCCTCTTTCTTCTCCCTGCTCCCCTCCTTCCCTTGTGTTGGCTGCTCCATTTCCCGTTTCTCCATTAGCACAGCATCCAGGATCCACTTTGACAGCGGGGGGAGGGGGTTAATTTAACAACTAGTTTACCCAGGGTCAAATTGGCCATTGTGGGAGGCTCATCCCTGATGTGCCCTGGAGCTGGAGGATGGGGATGGGCTATGCCTGCCATGACAGCCAATCTGACCCTGGGCAAACCGATTGCTAAATTATTTGAAACTCTCCACTGTTTTAAGGGAATCTGACTTCCCCATCGACTTGCCTGTCAGGAGGTTGCACAAGGTGATCCCATGATCTCAAGACACTGCCACCATCATAAATTCATGAATTTTGATCACGTGACCACAGGGATGCTGCAATGGTCATAAGTTTGGAAACTGGTCATAAGTCAGTTTTTTCAGTGCCATTGTACCTTCAAACAGTCACTAAGCGAACTTTGTAAGCAGGGGTGGGCTACAAAAATTGCAACAACGGGTTCGCTGCCCCATTTCTGGGTGGGCGTGGCCATGGTGGGTGTGGCCTAGTCGATGGGGGAGGGTGTTTTTTTGACCTCCCCAGGTTCTGGATGCTTTTCTCAAGCCTCTGGGAGGGTGAAAACTGCTTCTCCCGGGCTCCGGAGGCCTTCTGGAGGCCGGAAACAGGCCCGGAACCTCCAGTAGGCCCATTGTCCCCTCTCTCCAAGCCTCCATGCGGGCCCTGCACTTACCTGACATGATGAATAGGCCGCGTGGAGACTCCTAGGAGGGTCTGGGTGGGAGGGTCTGGGTGGGCGTGGCCAGCCAGGGGTGGCATTTGGGGGCTTGCCAAACTGGGCAGAATCCTTGCTACAGGATCACCCGAACCTGTGCGAACCCCCAGCATCCAACCTCTGGGTAAGTGGAGCACTACCTGTACTTTAGCAGGAAGCAGTAAATGCTAGTTAAAATCCCCTTGTTCCTGCTATCTGTACTGCACGAGAAGCCTAAGAAGGAAGTATTCTCTATATAGTTGAGCATTCATATAGGCTAGCCAGAGGTCATCCGGCAAGCTGACAAGCTAGGCAGACCGCTTGAGATTTATTTCCATTTGTCTTTTGACATCAAGGCTGGAATAAGGCGTCATGTGCTGCCTGGGGCCAAGCCTNGAAGACAGAATGTAGAAAGGGGGAGGAGAGAATGGGAAGAAAGGGTCGGATAAGGTATAAATATGGTGTATGGAGAGCAGAAGAACCAATTACGGGGTTTTTCTTTTTCTTTTTTTCCCTTTGGTAGTTGATGGTAAGATGAATTATTGTATGTACTTAATAATACAACTTGATATTGACTATGTAATAGTATACATGTGATTATATGCTATGAAAATGGAAAATAAAAACTTTTTATGGCGAAAAAGAGCTTCCTTCCCACTGTGTCTCTCCTACGATAAATGCCCTCTACTGGGAGCTGATATCTCTTGCACATGTGGATCGCTTATTGTTCACTCAATAATTTCACTGGGTGAATTATTGTTTTGGAATTACTTACTACTAATGAAATAGCACAATGGAACAATGACTCATCTAGTGACAGAACCAGAAGGATGAAGTCGCAAACTGAACAGGGTCTCCAATTTTAATTCAGAAAAGGACATCTTTGGTTATGAGAAACTTGGAAAACTGGCATACCAGAGCTGTTTCATCTGAATGGATAAATCAATGATTAATAGGATGCAATAGATTTTTTTTTCAATATGAGCTTGCTTATTAATTTCTCTTAGAGGAATCATGGGATGGCAAACAGCCAATTAATGAATCAAAAAGAAACCATAATCTTCTAACAGACATAAGCACTACTTTTTAATCCAGATGCTGGAACAGTGGCAAATAAATAAGCAATGGAAGATGGGCTAGATCTGCTAGACTAATAATTGTGAGATTGTTTACCTGACTGTTGCCCAGAATACGACTGACAAGCAGATGTCAATCATTAGAAACAGCGTGCCATGAAAGCTAGGCTTCTTATGATTGGGATGATTGATAGTTGCTAGGATATTTGATGAATTTCAACCAACACTTTGGATGAGCAAACCAAATATTTTTCCCCCCCCACTAGAGACCCTTACTATATCTCAGCTCTTGCGATAGTAAATGTAACCTCTTGTTGGAATGATAATGTGAGGTCTTCATTCTTGCAGCTGGCTAGGAAAGTTTGTTGTGCTAACTGGAGTGGGATGAACTATCTGGAGGATGTTAATTATCTGAGGAATGGGCAACAGCAGGAATTTCTCTCCCTCCCTATTTTCAAATAGAGGAATCCTCCAGGAAATTTACCAATAACTAATCAAGGCTGGCTAGAGACTTATTGAAAGGAAAGGAAGCAGCATAATAAAGTCTGTAACATAATGAGATTTTTACCTCGGATTAAAAAAAAAGAACTAGCACATTAACCTGGATTTTAATCCTCCCAAAATTGGGGTACGCAACGTCTTTGGGTGCATGTTAAGGTGAGGATTGTTTTTAGCAACCATGTTCATGTAAGTCCTTTTGCAAACAAATCTTGTCCAGTCTCCCCCGCTTTCCCCCCTAATTATCTCAATTTTAGGGGCCTAAATCCGTGGCACGACAAAACCGCGCTCCACTAAAGCGCGCCCAATTAAACCGCGTCGCTGACGTCATCAGCAGGGCAACAACAGCCAGCGCGGAGAAAGAAGGGCTCTTTAAATAGCGTTTTGAAAGCAAGCCGATTCAACTTAAGGTA